TTAATTTGTTTGTATTGTGCTACATGCAGTAAAACGGTAAAACTCATATGTCTTTCATTGCTGTGTCTTTCATTGCTGCCTGTACACAGGATGTCACTGCATGTTTGCCATGAATGACCTGGCAAAGGTGTGCGAATGTTTTGATTTTGGTTCAAGCTACTGCTATTGGAGCAGTGCTCTTCACTTTATTTCCTTTCATCATGTCGTCGTACTCATTATTTCAGTCAAGGAAAGCTCGCACTGAGTTTGAGATCACGCTGTCGCGGTGCAGCTATACTGGAGCTTTCCTCTCCGTGCACGAAGCGGTCTGGAACATCAGAGCTGGAGGCCTGTCCTGGAATTCTTATGACTTCTGTGTCAACATGATGCTCATTCTGTCGGAGATCGCGCTCTTTCTCTTCAGCATAGCGTGCCAAATTGGTTTTACCTACTATTTGAACCTTCAAATGCAGCCTCCGCCTGATGTTTGCACCTTGCACACAAGCCGGGGCCTTCAGTGGCTAGGGGCAGCTGCCTTCGTCGGGAAAGTGCTCCAGGATGTATTTGAGACATGTGAGATGCTTCTTTGGTTCCTTGTCGCCGAACGCATCGAGAAGGATCTTGCAGGTGACCAACCAGAGAGCATCGAGTTAAGTGATAGGGTCGCCGGAATCCTTTTCGTGGTGCTTCCCAAATTCGCCATTGCAGGTTGGCTCACGTGGGTCGGTGCACGGTTCGTACTGCTCTCCTCAGATGACACTGAAATCATCGTGAATTGCCTTGCAATGACCTTTGTGATGGACATCGATGAGATTGTCCACAAGACCGCCTCAAGCCAGTATGTGAAGCAGAGCACAGAGCACCTTAAAGCGTGGTCCATGCCTCTCAAACCTGAATATGTGAGATTGGAAACCGTCATGGCGCCGGTCATTAAAGCTGGGCTTTGGGCGTTTGCTTGCTCGGTACTCATTGCCGATCTTCCCCGTTGCAACCAGCCTCCAGGGCCTCCAGGGCCTCCAGGGCCACCCAACCGATAGTGAGACTTAAGCATTCTGCCACCATGCCCTGCGCTGAAGAAAAA